GACCGAGTATATTGCCCATCTTGTCTTCATCATTGAGATAATAGTTAAGAATTAAGGTGATAATCTTAAATTCTTTTTTACTTTTAAGGGCAGTGAAACATCACATAAAAAGCAAAGAGATTTTACATATATATTTCCCACGTGGAACCAATATGGCACAGAAAATAGATGAAAAAAAACCAATATAGGGACTATATTCTCTCTACATTACTGAATATATATATTATGAGCATTGAAATACCTACATATGCATGCAAATGTTATAGATTACTGGTTTGATATAGTTTTGAGAGTATTTTACAGGATAGAGTTAAGTTCAATGTGTTTTTATGTCAATAAATGTATCTGTTATTTCTTTTCACCCCATTCCTGACAGCTTAGTCAAGACAAATTTTTTTCCCCTGAGGAGGAAAAGGCTTCGCTTGGCAAGGAAGTACTATTTACCTTGATATTACCTAACTCATGATAAGTGGCAGCCAACTACAGAGGGATAAATTTTCCCAGTTTGTCTCTTCCACTATAATCTATTTCAAAAGCCAAAATAAGGAACATAAAATAGTAAGAACATTAAAGCATATAAAGTACCAAGTACTTAGGTGGCTTCCCTGGTGTCATTAGGAATACTAGGCCTAGCAGGCTGTTGACCCTAGGTATGACCAATCTGCTGCTTTTTGGGAAAAGTGAAGGAACTAACTGAGAAATAGTTTTTACTTTCACTTAGATGCACAGAAACAGATAAATCTGTTTCTGTAAAAAACAGTGTACTGTTTTGGTGCCTACTAGAAAGCAATAAGCAGAGAAGCATATTTTTAAAACTATGCAAAAGATAACTAATGAAACACTGTGTTCTGGTTAATTCTTTATTTTCAACATCAAATACACTGATAAAAATCTTGCACCAATCAGGTAGCTTACTGGATTTTTTTATTTAAACTTTTTTAGAACTCTTTTTAGGTGCAAAACAAAAAATACCTCACCAGAACAAAGACATCAATAATTTCATATGCATCATGAAAGAACAGAATACTTCAACAAATACATTATGGCAGCTGAGCCTATTCCAAAGAACATTCCATTGACAGACTACATAGTGCACACAAAAGCATTAGTTTTATAGTACATACAATAAGGTGATACATAAAGTGGCTTGATAATGCAAGTCATGTGACCAGCAGTCTATCCCTTCATTTTTCAATGGGCACTTTCTGAAGAAACAGACTTATAGGCACACAGGATTACAGAGCATACTAATTTGCAAGGTGGTAGCATATTTTTCTTTCTTTCTTTCTTTCTTTCTTTCTTTAGGCACATTAGAATGCAAAATAGTTTTATCTTTTTTTAACACAGTGCAAAACCGAATACCCTTTATGGGCAACAATCACTTTGAAAACAACTTTCAGGATATAAGGCTATCTACATTTGAAGGATGAAAGGGAATTATGAGTAGAAAGGGTAGGACATCAATATTAGGGAAATATTAACTTAAAACTCTCAATTCGAACTGTCAGATCAATTTGAGATTATGTTAAAATAGCACGTGACAGCAAAAACTCTTTTGTATTATGATACTGTCATTAACATCACCTTCTATTACATGTGTTGAATTTCTGTCTATCTATAAAGCCATATCACAGTTGTAGATAGCATTGAAAATAGCCATTTCTTTATTCAATAATAAGAAATGTACTTCACATAAGTTCAGCTGAGAATACTTACATCCAAAATCCCAATAGTTGTAGGTTGAGTTGCACTCTAATTTTAAAGCAGGATATACACAAGTAAGGCTTGCTGCTTACCAAAGCCTGTGATAAGACTAAAGCCCTAGTGAGGCAGAATTTTTACTTTTTTGGTAGCTGGTTTACTTTTGAATATTTGGCACAGCTCTTAAGGAATCAGTTGTCATCAATTGAAATAGATTGATGCTCCAGTACAAACTCTGGTTTGGATGAAGGGTACTGGGTATTTTTTATCCATTTTATATATAATTATCCATTATCTTGGATGAAGGTTTGGGTACTTTTTGGTTGGTTGTTTGGTTGGGGATTTTTTTCAATTTGAGGTCTAGTGACCTATTTGCAATACCCCTGGGAGCTCAATTTAGATTATGTATTTAATTACCTTTTTAAATTATTAAACCCCTCAGTGTACAGAAGGAGAAAAATCATCAAGTGATGTCACTACTGAAACATAATAGTAAATTTACCACAAACACACACCAAGAAACTTTCATTAAACTATTTTACCCCAGTACAAATCTGTTCCAACTGGGAGTTTTACCTGAGACAAAGTCTACGACATCGAGACATGGCTCGAACCGCTATATATACCAGACTGGCTTTCACATATTGGAAACTGAGACACCACTAAGTGCTACACATCTCCCTATCTCCTCTCCTGCCTCACAAGCTTTTTGTAATAATTCAGTGACAACCATGTTCTCAAGCAAGTTCACCTGGTCTATTTCTGTTTGGCTTGTGCTGGTATTACATTGCCTATGTTTCTAGAGGGTGTTTTTTTTGGTTTTTGATGTTTTTGGTTTTTTTTAAAAAATCCATGTATAAACATTACAAAATAATTCTTTTGTTAGCTGTCCAGAGGCATCACTATGAATGTTTTGGTAAAAGCATAATTAGCTGCCTTGAAAAGTTTTCTTTCAACTTTTTTTTTTTTTTTTACATGCTATATATTTTTATTTTATATCCAGCACCAGGTATTCAGGTAGTACTGGTTTGTCAGCTGCAAATATATAGTATATATGTATATATATACATACACATAAAATAGCATCTTGTGAAATAACAATTACCAAATGTCAGGCACAATTGTTTGCATACACGAGAGCATAATTCAGAACTACATATGAAAAATGTTGCCATTTTTTTATCGTAGACTTTCTTTAATCAATTGAATAGCTACATTCAGCTGTCTGATATATGGACAATCATCTTTATAGCTAACTCTGGGAAGGTTACTATATTCATTAAGGTGCTCTTCAATTAAAATCTCATGAACAAGTTAATGACATGGATCCTGAAACTGCCCCAATGTAAATTAATGTATTCCTGGGACTCACTCTTTCTAGGTTGCCCTTTGCCATTTTCACCACAAACCTGGGAGGACTGGTTGAAGTTAAATTGCCTCCTTGCAAGGACCAAGCCTAGGAAAGCATTCATAGTTAGGACTGTGAGTGACTGATACTATTGTGTATGTTCCAAAACATATTATGATACCCTTTTGCCTGCTCCACACCACTTCAAATCGTGCTTTTCCAGCTCCTCTGGGAAAATCTGTAGAGTGTAAAAGTACTTGCCCTATGTAGGTATCATCAGAATCTGATCCTCTGTCGTGAATTGCTCTTCATGAACCTCTTTTCCTCAAGGACAAATTTACAATTGAATCGATGTAATGAACTGTTCTGGGATGTAGGAAGGGAGGCGTTCATTTAAACTGATTTGCCTTCCAGCTTATGAGCTTGATCTATGTGTTCTGTTGTAGAAAACACCAAGTTTCACGTACAGTATTTAAAGAGCAGCTCTAAAGCACACTGGGCTACAAGTGAACGAAGATGGTGTAAGAGCATAAATTTAACTACAGAGATTCCTGTGCTGCATTCAGATCTTAGTCTGCACTCATTTCAAGGCATTCATGGTTTTTCTAACACATTTGAAAAACAGCTACTAAATAAACCCAAAATGTCCATCTTCTTTCATGGCATTTAGGACCCCTCTGAAAGCCCTTAGGTACCAAATTAACACACACACACACACACACACACACACACACACACACACAGAGACTTTTACTGAATACACAAAAAGACAAAATCTTCAGCACTTTCCAAAAAAAAAAAAAAAAAAAAAAAAAAAAAAGATACTACAATATGCATCAATAAAAGGCCTATTAACTTACAGTGACTGTCTCACATATTTAGGCTTGCACAGTTTTTGAGGAATCTTCTCAAATGTAGGTAGCATCTAGCTTTAGACTTCCAAACTGTGCATATCCTCAAATATGTACATGAAACTATTATAGACATCATTATGTACATTCACTAAAGAATTCTTGACTTGGGGCACAACCTCATCCTATGCCTTGCTGCCTTCACAATTGCTATGTAACTTGATCTCACTGCACACAGACTCTGCTTGTGTGACAGGGAGTGTAATCAGACATAGGCACTCCTGTACGGCATTAGTTGCACTATTTCCTATATTTAGTTACTACAGGATATTCCAATCAACATAATCTAATATAAAGATTTACACTATAGCAGTAAAAGCATCCATGAACCCTTTCTTTAGCATTGTGGCCAGCTGATGTGGAGCAGCCTATACACATGCTATGAAACATCCTCACTGGCAGGGTAGTTGCTTCCAACCAGCTATTGGAATAGTCTCTAGTCTGTGCTAACTTCCAAACTGCACCTGTCAAGCACAATTGCAGATAGCACAGGCAAAGTATATCATCAGACTAGTAAAATATCCCTGGCATATGTAATAATCACATTCCAGTACCCAGCAACGTTCCCTGGCATGTTTAATTTTCTAGCATCGAGGCAATCAAACAACAGCACCAACTTCTAGTTTGGATAGCACATCATATAGATTTATTCAATCTCTCTCCTTCATGTCTTGTTGAAACTCTTAATGTGAATGGACCTTTTGTATATTTACAGTTTGTCTGAGGAATCAAACTAATCCTTAGGAATATGCTTGTGAGTTACAAACATGCATGGAGAAAAACAGGTTTATCTTCCTGGACATGCAGTCCCAGAGTCTTCACCATGTCTGAGGCTCATTGCCCAGTTCTGGTGTTGCAGGTGAGCTGGCTCTTAACAGTGATTTTGAAGCATGGCACAACGAGAGCCAAAGAAAGCCAAGGCAAGGCAAAGCCAGCTGCTCTGACTGTGATGCCAGCCCTCCCACACACAGATAAGCTACACTCTGCTGAGGGGGATGAGGTCATCCCACCCTGTTGTGCCAGTCTTGCACTGGCATTCTCACCCCTTGCTTTGTAGCACAACAAAGCACAGGGCAGGGGGAGATTTTTTTATAAATAGTGCTGGATCCTGTAGATGTGTGAAGACCTTCTTTTAAAGACCTGATGACTTTAGTAATCATCTCGTCTGATTCAAGAGTAATTATCTATGTTATCACTGCTTGCATGTTGCCCTGGATTTACACTGTTGAGCATCAGAACAATTTAGCTTTCTAGGATCAAACAAGATCAGATGCATGCAATGCAATTTGCCTAGAGGATATGGTAAGGTTACCTAAAAGTTTGGTCAGAATGAGCTTGAGATGGAGTTGTCTGCTGATGTAAGCCAGCAAGGTAAAGCATTATTCTCAGACAGGGGTTCCTTTCTACTGTAGGAAGAAAAGAGGCAGGAATCTACTAAGGCAGTCCCTAGCAGTGCAGTTTCACTACAGCACACTAAGATGCCAGTCAGCTTTCTATTTACACCCCACAAAAACTCATCCAGAATCTCTACCAAATTGCTTCGAAGTTTCAAGCAAGTAAAGGATTAAGCGAGCTCAGGATTTTGGCTGGATATCAGCAAAAGCTACAACTCATTGGAAGATACCAATATGCATGGGTGATATCCCCCATCAATTGAAAGTAAAATGAATGTACAGTTTAGATTAGGACTTATCAAACTTACATGCAAAATTAAATAAAAACACTGCAAATTTTAAATCAAGTTAGCCTGACAATCCTTGCTGGCTGTCCACAGCAATGAAATGTCGTCCATTTAGGATAAGCAATCAATTTAGGTAACCGCTTGACAAACACTCAAATGGAAAATGCAGGTGTCTGTTGTCACTGGAGTGTTTTCAAAGGTGGCACAATAGATAAAATGAAGCATGAGCTAGGTAGTATGCTGCTGGGTTTCTCATACCGTTATATATTCTGACTTCTGCTTATATTGTATTCTGCATATTCTCCTCTTCTTTGCTGTTTACATAAAAAGACTGCAAGGAATGAGATGAAGCTGGTGCAGTTGTCAGCTGGCTCCGGTTCTCCTCTTCCATTGGTGCAGCACTCCTGGCTGTTGGGGCATGCAGTCGGTGAGCATCCAGCATCTCCAGCAGGAGATCGTAGAGTGGAACTACATTCTTACACTTCATATTGTACAGGTGCTCCATTCCTTTGTTGCTGTAATCAAACAACAGTTACTTTCCAAATATGCTATGGGAAAAAAAAAAAAAAAAGCTACCAGCTAATAATATTTGTTAGTTTATATAAATTCTGTCTTGCACAAAACAACTAACTTAGCAGTGCATTTGTTGTACATGCCTGATACAGTAAAGAAGGCGGCAACACCTTCAAAGAACACTGCAGACTGCTCATGGTCAAGTTGCCTTCCAAAGATGTCTCTTCTGCTCTCCTTTGCCTAAAAGGTAGCCCAGGGTATATGGACTCATAACTTAGCCACCATGACTAAGCTGATGGGATGAATCTCACTATTCCAATGAAAAAATAACCAGTTTTCTTTCCTAGAAAATAAGCTCTACCAATTTATTAGCAAAAGCTCACTTGCAATAGTATCCATTCACAAAACTATGTAACAACAATTAACTTTACTGTGCATCTGGAATTTCCTTAATTGTACAAATTCTTCTTAGAGAGGGCAAAAAAAAAGGAAGATTACACAAGGACTCCACAAAATTACACAAATGAAAAAAAACCACAACCACGCACCCCCTGACTTTTCCTGAAGAGCTGAATATCAGTCCAGGAGGTAAAATCTTCATGTTTCAGTTTTAGTAGCTATGAGTAGCTTACTCTGATTTAAATTTTACTAGCTGAAATAATGAAAATTAAAATCTGTGTAACAGCATCTCCTGTGCCTTCATAACAATAAAATATATACCATATCCTTGTATAGACTTATCATGCCACTGAGCAGCAACCTTAAGAGGTAATAACATTTGCGATAATCATTGATGCAACTATTAACAGTTTCTCAGCTCTCCTCTGATTAGCAAAAGACATGGTTCTTTTGCATTTATACTCGTCCATACAATGAACATAATGACCCTAATCTCTTTTCTAAAGCGATTTGCAATCAAGGCACTTGTGAAAATTGGCTACATAAAAGCAGTAGTTTTATTAAATTTTAGACTAAAGTTTGGAGAGCTAGGCTACTGCTACATTAGTATTCTGCTTGGCACTTTTCAAACACCTGTGTTTGGGTCTGTTAGAACAGGTCCAGATCCGAGGGCTGAAGCGCCTCTCCCATGAAGACAGGCTGAAAAAACTGGGGTTGTTCAGCTTGGAAAAGAGAAGGCTCTGAGGAAACCTAATTGCACCTTCCAGTACCTAATGGCCTACAACAGAACTGGAGAGGCACTTCTTACAAGGGCATGTAGTGACAGTACAAGGGGGCATGGCTTTAAACCTGAAGGAGGACAGGTTTAGATTAGATGTTAAGAAGAAATTCTTTATGGAGGATGGTGAGGCACTGGAACAGGTTGCTCAGAGAAGTTGTGGATTCCTCATCCTGGCAGTGTTCAAGGCTGGGTTGGATGGGGCTCTGGGCAACCCCAGGGGGGTTGGAACTAGATGATCTTTAGGGTCCCTTCCAACCCAGGCCATTCTATGATTCTATAATTCTAAGACACACATAAGTTTAAAAACAGATACCGCTTTCAGCATCATCAAAACAAGAAGCAGAGGAAGAGACAACTAGAAGAAACAAATGGGGAAAATATCTACTCCTTTCACACCATAATCCAATGTAGAGTTTTGCATGCATGTTCTGTACGAGTTTATGGAAAGCTTTTTTTCTCTTTTTCACTCCCACCTGTGAAGGAAAAGTATGCATGTGCATTTGTGACACCTCTCTTGCCTGGGCTTGTCACAGGAGTGCTGACTGTTTGCTCTCACCTCATGTGTCTGATGTGAGAGAGGATGAGGAGGAGCTGAGCCAGTCGTCTGTGTTGCTGTTGCAGAGAAAGACCTGACTTAGCCATTAAGTGAATCAGAGTGTCTGTAATTTTGTCCAGGACACGGTGAATATAGTCTTTTTCTTCTAGAGATTTCAAGGTGCTGGAAAGAAAAGTGTACACACCTGGAGTAGGAAGAAGAAAGAAAACAAACAAACCACAGACAAAAATTACTTTGATGGAGTCAGACTTGCCCAAGGTACACCGTGTAGCTTGCCTCTTACGCTGTGTTAAACCATGGGAGCTGGCTGTGTGCCAGCTTTCCTGCTTGGCAGCAAGGTCACTGTTTTGAATGACTCTGCAGTGTGGACTTAGTCACTGTGGGCAAAGCAGGAGGAGGAATATTATGCCTCTTCCCTGCCTGGATCCATCCAAGATCTGGACCAAGTGGTGGATGACACCTGCAGCTAGACCTAACCTTGGATATTCTCTCAGTCACTTGGCTCTGAAACTTTGAGGAGACGTTGTTCCCCTTGAGACTTCTTCAGTACTTACCAACAAACCCAAGCCTTCAGCAGTTTTTTGCCATTTTCTCTGTTGTTTAACATTTGGTTTTTAGTGATTTGCTAGTCAGTCTAGGACTGTATAAATATGTTACCACAAAATACGTAAACAAATTCAGGGTTTGTTTAGGCATGCTCGCCTCAACAAAATCCTGCCAACCATGCAATAGCCTTGAAAGATGTGTTCCTTCACCTGCAACCCAACTCTTCTTTAAAAACCATGTCAGATTAGCCTGTGCAAATTAAGCTGTTCTGAATTGTTTACTTTTGAAAGTGAGCAGCCTCAAGGTTTGGACCAGATGGAAATTTTCCTAGAGGACAAAACACCTTGAAACTCCCCCTCCAACAGCTCCTAAATCTCCTATAAAACACTATAACCCAGTCATAAGAGTTTTTGCCAGTAGTAATTCTTGGGTTCATGAAGCACATCAGCTTTCTAAATGGGAAATTGTAAACTATTTTGGGCTGGTTTATCTTGATTTTTTTCTGGACAATATCACGCAGCCAATGTGAATCAGGTCACAGCAATGCACTGCCAAAAGGCAGCTGTTGCATTCAGCATCAGTTTTTAAATCTTTTGGACTGAGCCAATAACTCTAAACAGATCATATTACCACAATCTAGTCCTGAGGCACCAGGATGTACGCACACTAATACAACCAAACTGGCTTCATCATACTATGTTCATTGTCCTGCATCTGTAACAGACTTGACAAATCCTGTGCTTTGGCCCCTCTGTATCAGCTCACAGAGCCAAGAAGAAATCTGAATTTTTTTCCTTGGAAAAAAATGGTTTCTGGAATTATGTTTCATTTTGCTTTTCTATAAAGCATTGTATATATAGTGCAATATGCAATGCAGTTACTGATACTAATAAAAAAAGACACACACATTAGCATACACATGTAGGCAGAAATATACACTCGAGTTTGTTTGTAGCCTCAAACACTCTAGATTGTTTGTAGCCTGGGGGCTACACCACTGGATTTGAAGATGAGAATATTTTGCTATGCATCTGAGCAGTTAGAGGAACTGAGATTTTTTATCATTTTCTTGGCCTATTTCACTTCCCCACATCATCTGGGTATTTTGAGGACATGACACCTACAACTACTGTAACCTGCAAGCAGGTTTTATGACACTGGGTCTTCTGCACTAAAAATAAATTTAAATTTGTGAAAGTCATTGTGAGTGTCTCTGGGAGAAAGTGAGTAATTAAGAAACTGGTTTAAAAAACCAGAAGGATAAGTCAAGCATAGCACAACTTCTGAAAATCAGCATCTAGAGTTCTTAATTTTGGTAATGAATATTGCTTCAAATTTGATATAGACAGATAGTACCTCTTTTCTCACAAAGCTTTTTTGTAGCTGTTATTATTTTTACTGAAATGAATTCACCAAAAAGAAATGGCTCCTGGGGCTTTTATCAGCTTAACCTATCTCAGCTGACTCTGAACCACCCTCACATATGCCTATTGACAGTACCAGGCTTGATAGCTTAGTAGGTACCTGTAGGGGTAAGATTCTTAAATATTACTGACAAAACACAATCCACTAGGAGAAACATTAATCTCATAAATCCACAATGCCCTCAGACCAGCTTACTTCAGTCACAGAACGCTATTGTGCTCTTGTAGCAATACTCCATAGTTCCATACCATTGAAACCATCAAAAGAAAAAAAAATCTTATAGAAGGAATTGTTTCTCACCTAGATCTAGTCCAGAAGCTATTAAAACCCATAAATCAAATAAAACACTCCCAAGCAACTGTAGAGAATTCAGGCAATTGCCAGTCAATAACTGCCAAGGAAAGTGATGTTTGGTTTTCCTTTCTCCATGCCTGCATTGATTGCTTCTGCCCCAGGCCACTGGCCAGAGATTTCCCCAAAAGAAATGCTGGCTATCGTTCATACACATACACACACAAGCAGAGTTTTTGAACCAGAGTTCAGAAAACTGCCTTAGCAAAGTTAAATTTAACAGTCTCAAAGGTCTTTCCAGGCCTAAATTGAATAGCCACCAGGTTGTTTTCCAGCTCTTTCTGTAGGTCAGGATTGTAAAACATAATGGGAGCAAGAACAGAGAAAACACCACTCTGCAAATAAGAAAGGCCTGTTGGTCCATGCCCATAACACATACCCATGCACAGAACGGGATGCCTCGGGGACTGCAGTGCTACCATGCCAGCTCTTGGCATACAGTGATATAACTTGCCCTCAACATCTTTTCTGTCACAATAAACCCTAGTTTAAAATATCTTTACATTTAGAGTTTAGGCTCACAAAAAAAAATACGCAAGGCTCTGCTTCTTTCACCGTGCCCCATCACTCTGAATCCTTAGCAAGCTAGGCTGAGCTATAAGGAAATTCATCTCTGTAATCATTTAGTCTCCAAAATAAAGAAATAATAAAAAGTACAATTTTACAGAAACTGAAAAAAATCAGGAGAAAAGAATGACAAGTGGTCACATGGAACAATGTATCAGGAGGTCTACAGAATGCATTAAATCAGCCAAACCTTTCCATCTTTTTGGACTAACCAGCTAACTAATCAGGTAAATAGAGCTGCTAAGGCAGACATGACCTCCTTCTTCATGTCCAAAATGAAATCCTGTTGCTTTGCCACATAGCAGCACCACCCCTTTTGGATACACTCAGAAGTGAAACATGTGGCATCATGTTGCCCTTTCATGTTTCTAATACTTATTTTCCACTGTTGAGAAACAGCCTTTTAATATTGAGCTGAATGTGGTTTTCAAAAATAAAATTTTGCTTTTTAGACAAAAGATTTATTGCTGCAGCTTTAAAAGAGCACTTTCTGGTTTGCTATTTAGCTAGACACAATGCTATCCTTGTTGTTACAGACACACTGTCACTTTGATATCTCAGGAAAAATTTTAAAGTAGCTTAAATGTATACTTTGCTTTATAAACAAAATCTTCCATCCTTTCCACATGCACAGAGTAACACTAAGGAAAAAAAAAAAAAAAAACACTTGCATTTTGCCCAAGACCATGTGCCAAAAGAATGTAAAGATATTAAACAGTCTTGAATGATATTGAAAAAAAAAAAAAGAAAATATCCAACAAAAGCAACAAACAACACTTCTTCATGTGAAGAGACTAACAGATATCCAAGGATTTAATAAAGAAATGTTTTTGTACACTCAGTGAATTAAATCCACACAAAGCAAATGCAGACTGCTTTTAAAAATGACACATAGCATAATTAGTCCAATTTGTTTAATTAGTCTACTTGTTGAAATCATTTTGAGATCTTCTGGTTTAATTGTATGCATATATAATACAGACAAAATAAGGGCCAGAAGTTCATTGTGTGTTTATCTGCTACTTCTGCAGTAGAAGATTTGTGAATATTTACATATGCATTCACAGAATAAAATCAGGCTAAGGTAGGCTTGGAGTTCATCTTGTTCATCCTCCTGCTCAAATAGTGGTAACTTCAGGATTAGAACAAGCTGCCCAGAGCTTTGCCTGAGTTCTAAGTATGTCCAAAGACTGAGATCCTACCATCTTTCTGGCTAACCTGTTCCAATGCTAAACCTCTCATTGGGTAGAGTTTTTACTCTTTCATCTGGTCGGAGTCTCCATTCCTGTGGTTCGTCTCCATTGCAGATTGACCTTTCCTCCTGCACCTCTGAGAAGAGTCTGGCCCTGGCTTCTCCATAACCTGTTCATCAGCTGTCTGAGTACTGCACTTAGACCCTTCCTTAGCCTTCCATTTTCCAGGATGAAGCAACCCAGCTCTCTTAGCCATGTGCTTCAGAGCACAGAATGTTTCATATGTGTATGATAACAGTTGATAAATATTTTCATTCATATTTACATAAGGAAGCTGGCTACATTCTGTGAAGTAAAGCATCTCCATAAGAAATTTTCGGGCCTCTATGCCAAACACCACTTACTCAACTCTTAACACATACCCCAAATTATGCTACTTATCTCTTTATTGCAATCTAGCCTTCTCATTTGGGCATTTAAAGGGCCTAGCAGTCAGAAACCCATATCCACATTCCCACTATGTAGTAGTTAACTCCTCAGATCATTATAAAATTAGTTTGTTGTAAGAATGCAAAAACTAAAATGTAAAATTGATTACCTTTGTGCATAAAGGCAGTGACAAGCAATACAGACATACATTCTATGGTCATATATAGAGAGAGACTGAGTTTACAGTGTACTCAGAAATACTGCAATGAGGGCAGTCTGTAAGCCAGAGAAATGCATGACACTTTGTGTAACAATGCTATAGATTGCTTTCATCATGATCGTCTAACAGCTCAACTGAACCATGTCATCTAATCTATCACTGTCAAGACTTTTGTAAAAATGCCAGACTTTTGAGCAGCTATAAACTTTCACTTAGTGCAAAAAAAAGCCACAGTCAAAATCAGATCATTCATCGTATCTTCAGATAAACCCTGAGCTTCTGCCACAAAGAGCACCACCAATTTGAAACTGCTAAATAGGAACCTTGAAGGAATGAAGATCTAACATCTCCCAGCTGCACACAGTGCAGAAGTTAATTACCTTTGAACATATTAGCTAAAATTGTGGAAGAACATCACTTTCCAGGAAGAATATTTAACTCTAGGAAACATTTTGTTATAACTATCAGGGCAATAAAAGCAAAATAAAATGTCATACAGTAATTACAGTTGTCGCACCCTGACAACCAAGATTGACACACCCTGACAACCAAAAAACAACACCACTTTATTCCTAATATGCTAGGTGCTTGCTTCAGATGTTACTTTTTGGTAATTGGTGACAACCACAACAAAACCTGAACTACATTAATACCTCACAGAACTTAAGTAAAACATTTTTATATTAGATTTTACAAATACATAATTTTGCTTGAACTTTGAGGAGACCAAATTCAAGTTTCCATAATGAAAGAAGTGCTTCATCAATAAATCAAAGTCTGCTGTGTTTAGCCTCCGCTGGGAATTACCTGGATTTGTTTTTCCTGCAACTTGGGCAAGAGATCTGATAGACAACTGGATAAAAAGTACATATAGTCCTTCACAAAACAACACAAGACACGTTTTTTTCTTGAGGGTTGTACCATCTACGAGTTCAAATCCAACAGGAAAGGGGAGAGAAAGTGGGTAAGTCCTCAGCATTTGGAAACTCTGGCATCTTTAGTCATTAGGTAACAACTTATACAGAGAATAGCATCTAAAATTTTTTTGGTGCGCATATTATTATTTTAGATGTCTATAATTTCCATGAGAACACCATGGGCTTAATTTCTGCACTTAAAAATAAATTGTTTGGATTTTTTTTATAATTTCAAACAGAAAGGCATCCTCTGGTGTGCAACAGAAATTTTTTGTTACATGCTTTGACTTAAATGTGCTTGTTTCAATCATCTGATGAAAAGTTCAAGTCAGATAACCTTTCAAATTTATATTTTTATCTACATCTACACTTGTTATCTAATCACCTATTTTTGAAGTGTACTTCAGACTGAGATTTAAAGCCAAAAAAAATATTTATTAACCATAAAGGAAGAGGAGGGTGATGACACCCATTTTAGATGACTATAATTTAATATAAACTGATAAACTCTGATAAACTCAGAGACATTTTTGCCCTTATTTCCTTTCAGTTTTACATCACTAATTAAGTAAGGTGAAGATTTACACCTTTGGATGCCCTAAGTGTGGTTCCAGCTACTCCAGTGTCTTGTAACCAAAGTTTTAAGACTTGCCAGCATTTAGTTTGAAACACTGCTCTGATTACCGTCTGCATCAGCTCTATACAGTGTGTCAGCTGTTCACTGCATTAATTTGCTGGGTTGCATCTATATCACTGAACAGGTTCAACAGCTTCTATCCCTGCCTGACAGTCCTGCCTGCATCTATGTTGACAGTTCCCTTTCGATTGCTGCTCTCTCAAAATGAAAACACTATTAACAACAACAAGCAGCATTCAAACACATGCAGAAGCAGCCACAATTACCCGAGTGACAGCAGAGCACACCGCTTACCAGAATTGAGCAGGATGATGGACTTAAGGCACACGAATTCCTCCCCTTGAAGGTTCATCATGCGAAATCGAGCAGCAGTAGCCAGCAGCATGTCAAAGATTTCCACCATGCCCTCTACACATTTCCCTTGATTCCTGTGTGAATACCATCCATAAGGGGGGAAAAAAAAAAACCACAGTATTTCTTTAGGCAAAGTTAGATACCTAGCTTGAGGTATTCACATGTGCAGGAATGAATTAGAAATTTCTGCTTTATTTTCAAAGTTAGGCAGCAGATCCAGCTCAACTGAAATCAGTGGGAACTGCAGTAGCTCAGCATATTTGAAATACAGGTTTCTAATCAAATGCATTTATTACCTAGGTTATTTGTCAACCAACAAACCTATCTGAAGCAATAATCTCCAGTTCTCCTGAACTGCCTTCTACCTTTCTAACGTAAGCTGATAATATTATCACATCTTAACAGCTATATGTTTAGTTGACAGGAAGGCCTATCTATGAAAGCCTAGATAACTTTCCTGGAGGGCAAATTAAGCAATAGATTTGAAAATTATCCTTATCCCACCAAGATGCTGTTATCTTTGTGTAATCTCATTTTACTGAAAACAAGACAGCAAAAGCTTGTTTCCTGAAAAGTGTCAGAATGTATTTTGAGAAGAATCCATAACACTTGGCTATTGGGAAAAGTTAAGGAAAGTTAGAGCACTTGAATTAAAAGTCTTAAGTGACTGCATAAAAGTACTATGTGCATTAACTTCAGTATGTCTATAGAATCACAGCATCATCCAGGCTGGAAGACAACTCAGGATGTCTTTAGTCCAACCTCCCAGTGAAAGCAATGTCAGTTTGCTCAAGGCTTTATGAAAGTCTGGTCTTGAAAATCTCCAAGGATGGAGAATACACAGCCTGTCTCAGCTTAATTATTTTCATCATCATGTTTTTTCCTCCCCTATATCCAGTCAGAACATCTTCTACTTCAGTTTATAACTCCTGTTTCTCAGTCTCTCATCAGGCACTTTAATAAAGATCTTTCATAACCGCCTTTAAGAATGTAGGTTAAGCAGATTTAAAATCCCCTCCTTCTCCGTCTGAGCAAATCCACTTCTCCCAGCCACAAGGCATGGAGTTCTGCCTTAGTGGCTCTCCACTAGTGTTTACTAAAGTTTACCAATATCTTTCCTGTAATAAGCAGCACAAAGCTGGATGTGGTATTCCAGATATGATCTAATGAGTGCCAAATAAAAACAGGATAGTCTCTTCCCTTGTTATACTGCCTACACCAGGGCTATTCCATTGTATGTAGGAATAAGAACCTAGATTTTATTTAAGTCTTGGGGAAAACCTAGATATTAGAAATGTCTTTTACAGAAGCATAGGATCAAGTGAAAATTAATAGTGAAGGGTGCTTAGAGGAAGGGAACCGGTACTCAAGGATTCAGTTGATGTTCTCATCAAACTTTTCATTCAAAGGGAAATGCCTTTTAAGTAGGACAGATGCACCCATCAACACAAAGCCTGTGTATTTGTTATCTTACTGTCTTCTTCTATCATGGCACTTCATTTGATGACAAGGAACTGCCAAGAATGGATGGGATCCACAAGACTAGGAGAGGGAATGTCAGTAATTTGTTAAGGAAGCCTCTAAACAAGGCTTGTCACAGGATGTGTTCCTAAGCCTAAAGGCAGGTTAGGAAACAGGGGAGGTATCATTGAGAGAAAGCTGCAGGGACAACTTTCACACCCTCAGTTAGAAGGGAAGACATTCACAGACTTTGTGCTCTGACACAGAAGGAGAGCAGTACGTCTGTACACAGACCTCAAAACAGTAATGATCCTTATATACATTTATACACATTTATATACATTTATGTAAATTAAAGTATTCTATATAAACTAGTTCTATTAATAGACACTGATGGAAAAAATACTAAAAATCTGTTTTAAAGTGATTCTCACTTAGAGTTAGTCACAGAATAGCAGAGCTGCTAATATTGGTAGGTTGTCTGGAAATCATCTAGTTCAATGGCCTTGCTCAGGCCCATATCTTGTTGGATTTTTAGTATCTCCAAGGACTGAGACCCCAAAACCTCTTCTTCTGTCACTGAGATGAATCTTCCACTGCCTCCTTTACCTCCCCCCTCCATCAGGTATTTATACACATCAATCAGATCTGAGTCTTCTCAGCCTTTCCTTATATGGGATACATTTCAGTCCATTACTCATTTTTGTGACCCTTCACTGGCCTCACTCCAGTATGTGCATGTCTGTCTTGTACTAGGTAGCTCAGAATTGGACACAGCACTCCAGATTTGCAGCAGCAAGGCTGAGCACCCAGTCGTGCTGAATTCCCCCAAAAATTACGGAGCTCCCCCCATTATGTTGTTCTGTGAACACTTCTGTATTTCTGTGCATGCACACACTTAGGAAGGTTTACTTATGTCTCTCCTGTCCACATCATCCTGGCTTAAAGCTTCCTCACCAGATTGACCAGTCTGTGGAAACTACGCTTGTGCCCCACTTTATGATGCTGATCCCATCTCTCCCTAAACATCCTTGATCCTCAGTGCAGGTTGCATGACCAAAAACGTTGAATCCCTGTTGTTGACACCAGCAGCTGCTAATCTATAGGATCTGTCTGTTCTGCCCCAAGCCCTTTCTCCTCAGTGGCCCCAGTGGACTGGGCCACCTGGGCTTCCATGCTTTTGACCCCTGCCCTCAGTGCCAGGTAGTCAACTACATGTCTTTCCTGACTAGATCAGCAGAGAATCATCCACCTAGGCAGACAGAGCAGGAGTAGTACACTATATATTTCAGCAGTGGTGAATCAAGTCTGAAACATATAAACAATTAGCAACTAAGTAATTTTAATATATATTTTTAAAATATAATGTGAAATGGATCCATAAATATGTCAGACAGGAAAAATCTCTAAAATGCTGCTACAATAATTCTAAGAAAACTGATTATAATTTTGGTCACATTTGACATGTTTAAATTAGGAAATTATTATGAAGGTTCTCCACTAGGGAAAGATGAGAGCTACAATAATTGGCTAAAGAAAAGTTATTCTGATAGACAGGAAGGCCTTTTTCAGTTAAATTTATATTCAGTCTGAATCACCATAAAGCCAAAAAATATTTCAAAATTCTCTTCATATCAGAAATGCAGAGAAAGTTTAATTTTGGAATTAAACAGCATCATAATATAATGTGACCTAGAAATGGGGCCTGAGTTTCTGAGGTCAGAGTGACTAGATGAACAAGCAATCTTATAAGTTATGTAGGGACTATCTTGAATCCAGAAATTATTTCATTTTCTTTGAAAAACTCTGTCCTGTGCCTACAAATTCCCCAGGGGATCTTTTTCTAGTAGCTGAAAATTCTGAAGATCATAATGAGAGGGGGCTTTCTTTTTTTTTTTTTTTCTTTTTTTTTTAAGAGTTCATCACTTTAAGCACTACCCAGCACCTCCCCAAACTCTAGAAGTGTCTTCCTGATTTACATTTAGGTTGTTGGAGTTACAGAATTGGGTAGTCTTTGAATTTTGCTCAAAGATACAGTAAAGACTGACTCACAACAAAAAGGCATTCATTTTTCATTGTTTTAACATTTATAATTCTGTCTCTTTTAATTTTTTTTCATTCTATGGGGTCTACAATATAATAATACATCTCAAAATCCAACCATAAAGATGAAAGAGAAATTTAATTATTTCAGCATATTCCCTAACTCTGCACAAGTTAATCCATCCAGCTGTATTAAGTAAGTAGCATGATGATAAGATGATTGTTTGAGTTGGGTGTTCAGGATGGAATCTAATGCTATTAAAGATGTGATGAAAATTAAATGCACAATTGTTTTTCAAATTTATTTTGAAGTGTAAATTTGGACATATTGCCAAGGGTTTTTTGGACATATTGCAAAGGGGCTTTTCCCCTTTGAAATAAATACAAGCAGAAGGTCAATAAAGAGTCATTCTGAATCAAGCACCTGTGATCACTTTGCTTCCATTTTTCCAATATCTCAGTGGTAATTAATACATCCACAATTACACAGTAACAAATGAAATGCTGTGCATTTTATTCATATGACAGACAAGTGTGATGCCCTCAGACATTTGGAGAATTTTACAAGTTGAAGGAGAAGCAAAACATATTCAGTTTTCATCTTGATATTCTCCTATTGTATCCAATTTTCTGTCTATCAAAACATCTGCATAAATAACTTAAAAAATTCTTTTCAGATGTAGTGAGAAACCTTCAGAAAGAAAGCCACAAAAGCAATAAATTATTCAGCCACCCTGTCATAAAGGGAATGCTGTAATTCTTTTCACTGTTCGTGCTAGCTGCAGTTTAAAGAGACCCATGGCCTTCTGCCATTGCTTATTATGAAAGTCAGTAAAAGGAAAATTCTTCAATTTTTATTCGGAGACAATGAAAAATCTCCATCAAGCACTGGAAGAGGATGAGAAGAAGTTCCCAAATTAAAAACAACCCTGAAAACCAGACTAGCTTTCTCTGTAAAATGAAGGAAATAACCTGGTAGAAACATGGAAATGCTGACTACATTTAACCAAAATTTTAGAATTCCTTAGACAGATTTCTTGCTGCGAGACATTTTTTACAATCATGATAAGAAAATAACATTAGAAAATAACATGAGGACACTTTACTGTCTCATATCAAAGGTATATTTAGCTTTAGGCTAAGCATGTAGGCATTTGGATCTGCTGATTTTACGTGACTACCTCTAGTTCTAGGTTGGAAGAGATAATAACTTGTGGATGGATTACCACACATCTTCTCAACATGATCATGACTTTATGCAACTCCTATCACCTTATTTTTTCCCTTCTTCTAATGAGCATCACAGGCAGAGAAGTTGGTTTATTTAGTTATTCTTTGTAGCAAAGCTTGTATCCCTGTTTGATTGCCTATGAAACATCTCTGAGTATGTCCTCTAGTCATTCAATATTCCTGTTAAGACAAGGAAAAACAGAAAGGCACTGTTTTCCAAGTACAGATGCAGCACAGAACTATATAGAGGAATAACAATGCTCTATATTATTTCAATTTCCCGTTGTAATGATTCCTGGGGGGAAGGAAAATTGCAGTTTAAACTGCTGTCAAGCAAAGA